ACCTTTTCATACATGTGTGTGAATTAAACATAATGCCGAAAGCCGCTCACATAGGCCGTTTTAAAAAACGCGTCCTGCTCGCGTAATGTGTCCGCTTTTTAGCCACGCAGTACGAAATAAAAAATTAGCAAACGGCCATTAGACAAAGAGGAGGAGCTCGGTCTTTTCATTTTATTTATACCTCTAAATAGTTCTTCTCAGGCGTTTTTAATCAAGAGCCTGCTTTTCTCACTCAGTTTTTCTTATACCCTTACATCCATCTACAACTCGCTTTCTATGCGTTTAATCAAAAAATGAATGAGAGCTAGGGAAGAATTTTGCGCGTTTATCTATTTGAATAACAGGTTCTTTTTATATATGCATTGCCTAAAATACCAGTTTGCGTATTTGTACGCGTTGCAGACATAATTTAATATTACCGGGAAGCCAAAGACACGCACGCACTTCTTGTTTTATTCAGCATCACCGCGGAATCTCTGGCAAAGCCGGTCAAGATGAAAGAAAATGAACAAATTTTAATATGTATATTTAAAATAATAATGTTCTTTCTGATAAGAACTTTCCATACATGCCTTCGTTCACTCATTTGAATGCATTGGTTTTATTTTCTCTGCTTGTAAAAATATTTCTATTATGGAAATTGCAGCAAAAAAAAAATAGCTTTCATTTAGCTTCCAATTTGGTTAATTTAAAAAAAATGTACATTGTGGAACATTTTTTTTTTTTTTTTTTGCAATTTTTAAGATTATACAGCAATAACATATTTTTTTCTTTATATAAAAATTACACTAAAAAGTAAAATTAATATTTTTGGTCGCTGCCAAAAAATAAAAAATAACATCTCCGTATAAATCATTCATACACAGAAGCCATAACGCGATAAAAGCAGGTAACTGTTTGCAACAAATGGCCAATTGAACGTGTAATAACGCGCCTACATGAGTAATAACAGCACTAACAGGGCAAGAGAAGTTCTTTATTTTGAAGCATAGAGAAGAGTTGAGATGAATAAATGTGCTGCTGATACGCCCACATCTTGGCACGGCAAGATATAATAACACGCTCCAAGTGTAATGTGCACACCGCACCTCTTTTCCTTGTTAATCGGCGCGACTCCTCCAAGGCGTGATATATTGTGGGACTCGTTGTGTGTGAAGCGAGCACGGAGAGTGTTTGCTCGCGAATTACAAGATTGTTTATTACAACGACGATCATTGCTGCTGGAGGTAGTAGCCAAACATGATGTATTGCGACAACGTAAATAATATGCAGTGGGAGAGAGTTGAGAGCATGGGAACAAGGATTTTTATGTTGAAATCTTATTTCCTTTCATAGGCAAATGGCTCGTTTTTTTTTCATTTTAATTTTTGTAGATCGTAGGCATACAATAATAAATCTGATATGGTTATGGGTTATGGTAATTATATAAAAATTGATATAAAAAAAATAATCAACAAATTCTGAATGCGATCTAGGGAAAACCAGAAATTCATTTCTTTCTATATATGCATAATAAAAAACCTGAGCCTAATTTTTATTTTATATTATATTTCTAATTTTTATTTATTTATAACTATTTGCAGACTAAATCAAGTGAACTCGGCAGAAGTTAAATTTTTTTATACCATAGCTTTAAAAAGATAAAATTAAACTAAAATATTGTGTATATTTAAATGGCAATTAAAATTAAAATTACTATGACTTATAAATTTAAATATTTGATTACTTATAGCGTAAACTAATATATTTTTCAGCTACTTTAATATATTTTAAATGTTTTATTATATATATATATTGTACATATTTTTTCTTTTTTGTAACCAACCGCAACAGGATTCTAACAAACACAGTTTGACATTAGCATTTTGGCAATCCCATGCGCTTACAAAGTGTAATGGGAACGCACGCAGCGTATAATGCAGATCGAAATATTCACCATTCATACACAGAGATATATCAAAGCAGAGGAGACGCATACGTTTTTGAAATGATTTTATAGTGCGTCATAAAATGTCATAATCCTTTCTTTGAAGGGTCTCCAGCAGCCATACAATGAATGAAAAGGTACACACACATGACAACCGCTAATACTCGTCGTCGTCGTGAGAGACAAACAAAATCTTCCTCTCTTTGATTCACATGTGGGTCACTCACTATGCTCATCTTTTCCATTACTCTGCGTGCATACGCATCATCATATGAATCGAAAATGATATAGGTGAAGAGCAAAAAGCAAAACGACTACTTAATCCGCCAACTTTGCTGGCCGCCGTGGCTGACCATTGAAAAATGTAATACATTTTATCGCGACATGCAGATTATGGTCTGCGTAATAATACACCGGTGAGAGCCACAGAGGAAGAATGAAAGAGTTACATATAAGGAGGAAACGCCAAATCAAATAAATCTCATTCAAATAGATTTCCCCGACCTATAATTTAAAGATAATATTAATTTGAGTCTGCGCACCACGCACTGCGCATTGCCTGCAGTGAATAAAAATTAGAAGAAAAAAATAATAATGAGAGCAAAAGAGAATTTTTGCATGTCTGTAGATATGCAATTGAATGAATGCGACACATTGTGCAGAATTTCTTTTCATGGCACAGCGCAGAGGAAATACATTTCTTTCAACACACGCTGAATTTATTTAAAGGGTACATAATACGTAATATAAAAAGCGGGGTGACATACACAAAAAGGTAGAAGTTTGGCACGCAGGAGAGCTGGCTGTAGCTGCCGCTTCTTCAAAACTCCCTCAAAGCCTCTAAAAAACCAGTCTAACTACTACACACGTTCGTACATTTCTCGCGGCGCGATCTGTTCTCTCGGCGCAGAAACAAAACTCCGCCGGCCGGCACTCTGCAGCAATACATCATTCTTTTCGCTCTTTCTTTCTTTCTTTCGCTCTCTATACATGTATAAATGCGAGTTTGATATAATATTAGCCAGCTCCAAAAAGAAAACCCGCAACTCGTTTCGACGCCGAGTATGAATCTGGTTTCGTCATCAGTCCGAGAGCATCTCTTTCTCTCTCTCGCTCCGAGCTCGGTCAAATGAATTATTGTGTATTATTATTTTCCATGCAAAGTTAGTGTGCTGCTCTCTAAATCGAGATTGCCAAATATTCGACTGGAGTTGCAAACGCAACATCCTCTTATTTTTGATTTGGTTGCCGATAAGTTTGAGAAAAATGTGTGTTTTATTATGGAGCAAGTTCTTTATTATTATTTATAATTATTTTTCGTCATGCAGTAAAAATTAAATAATTATTCAATGGTATGGAGATTTGAGCAAGCAATGGAAATAATCAAGATGTTGTTAACCTAAAATTGTAGCTTATTATAAACGTAAAAAGAAGTTTGAGCTTATTTGTTAAAAAATCCTTAAGCATTACTTCTAATTTTTGATAAAATATCAATCTTTAGTGAAATTATTTAATATTTCCTGCTTTAGCTGCTTTAGTTGAGAAGGTTCAAATGAATCACTTCAACAATTTAAATGATTAAAAGTTGTAATACATTTTTTTTTCATTTAAAATTAAAAGAACTTTGTCAGACCTTTAATAAGTAAAATTCAACAGAGAGAACCGGTGAGAAACTGACAGAAACTTAATTTTTTCTTTCAATTTGTGTGTTGAATGTTGCTATCATTTTGTCAAAAAAAAGTGTTATAATAAAAAAAACCAGATTGAGAAAAATAACAATTTGTTTTTAGTTCCCTTTAGCGGCAATTTCATTACAAATAAATTTTCACCGAGCTGGAGATATGAATGCTTTGTTTTAAATTCCAACTGCTGCAAGAGAGTTGAGAACAGGTTCATTCACAACACGTTTACTCCAGCAAGATTCACATAAATAAAGAGCAATTTGCTCCGCGGCGCATTTGTTTGTTTCAATCCGCTGCTATACACAACCGATTACATCTCTTGGTATAGGTGTAAAATATTGCGTGGGTGGGTATTTACATGACCGAGAATGGAATTGAATTGTTCGCGCAGCGAATAAAGATAATTCAATAAAAACGTGCATGACGTGCCGAGCTCTGTCATTTAGCTCGAGTAGCCGCCGCCGCCGCCGTCTGGAGGAGATTACAAAGGAAAAGAGAGCGGCAGACACGAGAAGCACGCGTGGCGAGCAAGTTGCATAAGTGGCAGGCGTTCTTCGAATGAGCGAGAGGAGATTTAATTTTTTGCTGCCGGCCTAAAGTGAAGCAGCCGGCCGGCCGGCATATAAAGAAGGAAGCTATGTAGTATTGCGGTACAAAGTTAATTACGTTTTAAACTTCAATGTTATAAAAGTATAATTGCTAAAATGTAAACTTTTTTTGTGCACGCTTTATATGATTGAAGGTACAAATAATTGAATCAAGCTTGCTGGGATTAAATTAAAAACTCCTAAATGATTAGGGAAATAAATTATAACGGTTTTAAGAAAAAGAATAAACTTCATTTCACTTTTCAAAAGTAAAATATTATTATTATGATTTTTGGAATTTTCCCTTCACTCTTATTTGTAACATTTTATTAATTGGTCCTGTACAGGTATTTCCGTTTTAATTGTGATAATGTTTATCGCAAGAGAAATTCATTGATTTATTGAGCAAGTGGGCAGTGGGCAAAAAGCGGCACGCACCGACACTCTCATTGTCGCAATTAAACCAGTTTGACGAAAATGTTGCGCACCGGCGACACATTAATTGTAACAAAATCTTCGCAGCCGGCGCTCGGTGGCTGGGCTACGAGCGAGAATCTCATCTCAAGGTGTTGCTCGCTTTAGAGGTCTACCACTTTTAGCCATGCGCCTCACGTCCGAGGCACGCGCTTCGGGATAGATCTCCCTTCCTCAGGAGCAAGCGGCGGCGAGCGGCCGGCCGGCGAGCTCACAGACTTCTTGCAGCCGGCGCTGCAAAGCAGGTAGAGGAGAGGCGGGGCCTCGGCGCAAACACCAGGGTACAAGTAGGGGAGCGGCGGCAAGCGGCGCAGCATTTCGGGAGTTGGCACCGAGCAGTGCACATCGGCCCTCAACCTACTCTCTCGCTAACAAAACACTCGCACACATTCAAATGGCAGCCATGGTCGACCGGGTTCTTGCCCTGGCCCCGCACCTGGGCCCCAGCCCAACCTCGTCGCCCTCGAAGATGTCCGGCCACGGCCCCATGTCGTCCGCGTCCAGCACGGCGTCCAGCAGCTCCTCCAGTTCGGCGTCGTCCGACCTGGTGCGCTGCAAACGCAAGATCAACTTCCAGCAGCAGTTGGCGTACGGAAACCTGCCCGGACAGCCGGTGTCCGTGGCCCGACGCAACGCCCGCGAACGCAATCGCGTCAAGCAGGTCAACAACGGCTTCTCCACCCTCAGACAGCACATCCCCTTCACGGCCCGCAACAAGAAGATGAGCAAGGTGGAGACCCTGCGCTGCGCCGTCGAGTACATCCGCAGTCTGCAAATGATGCTGGACGAGAAGAAGGAGGACTTGCCGGTGGCAGCGTCGCCGGCGCCGTCCGAAGTTGAGGCCCCACAGCACTACGCGCCGGCCTTTAGTCCGACCACCAGCGAGCACAGCAGCGTCTCGTCCTACCACCAGCAGCAGTTCCAACCGCAGCCCCTGATGCACCACCTGATGCAGCCGGCGTCGCTGTCGCCGCCGTGCAGCGCCGCCAGCGAGCCCGCCTCGTCGCCGACACCGTCCTTCGAGGAGTCGGAAACAACGTCCTACCACCCCATGTACCCTGAGCCGACCACCACGGTCGTCCCTGTGCAGGCGTACGACAACTACCAGCCCATGAGTCCTGAGGACGAGGAGCTCCTCGACGCAATCTCCTGGTGGCAACAGAGTCAATAAGCAGGTAAAAACCTTTTTTATATTCAATATGTATCAAAATTTAGAAATTGATATTTAATTTCTATTTTATTTTTCGCGAGTTTTGTTTGAAAATTTAATTTTTACCCAGCGTCTGGTTTTATTAGACCGGCATCGCGTGTGTTTAGCACATTATCATAATACGCACTGGAGGCTACCGAGTCTAACCTTGAACTCTTTTTTTCTGTGTTTCTTTTCCTGCCGCCGTATAGTTTCGTAATTTCATTCTCACTTTCGATCTTATTACATTTCGGCTGATGATAACGGGACCGAGCGGATCATTAAAAATTTTGCTGCTTCCCTTCTGTCGCGCGGTATACGCAGGTATAATCGCAGCCAGCAAACAGGTTGGACCGAATAATAGTAAATTCCTGCCTGTAAAAAATTCTCCTCTTCCTTGGGGTGAAGATCTCTTTTCTGAGGGAAGTAAATAGAATGCGGCATTATATTAGAAAAAGAGAAGAAACTGCTCGCGCGTGAGGGGAAGACTGAATGGCCCGGAAGAAATCCGCCGGTGTTGTTTATTGCACAAGGGAGTGCAGGGAAATTCCATTTTTTTTTCTTGAGCTGACCGCCCACCCATCTCGCGACCTTTTGTCAGTCATGACCTCTCTGATAAAGCTGTCTACCGAAAATGTATACTAAATCCGTCATGTCCTGTTTTTGTTACAGAATTTTGATCTATTTTGGCCGAGGAGTCTTTCTTTCGAGTCGATCTCTGCGCAGCAGGATGGCAACTCCAGTAGCAAATTTCCATGTGATACCACCGCCGAATCAGCCAGCACAATCTCATCACCTCCAACCCATAGTTTTCAAAACACATACCTCACCGCGGAACACACTGCCTCAACCACCAAATAGCTCAAGAGCTGCAGCCGACCAGTTATCTTATCAAAATGGTAAGTTTCAAAATTAGAAAGAAAAAATAAATTTGTAAATAATTTCTGTATTCAATTTGAACCATTTATTAACATTTGTGTTTGTTTTGTTTGTTCTCAGGTGCCTTAAAAAGCCGTGAACTTTGTGACCTCAGAAACGCCTACATATCTCAGCCAAGAACAGTAAAACATATCAACAAAGTACGCATTTTTTTAAATACCTGTTCCTGTAAATATTCAAAATTGGTGACTTTGACTCCTCTCAAAGCATTTATATGCCCATACGCAGAAAAATTGTTTCTAGTCAAATTTTGCATTGCTCTGAAGCGCGTCGGCGCGCCACCCGTTCATTTATTTTTGTGTAAATTTTTGCCCTGTATTTATATTATAATTTATTTTATACTCTGCATATCGACTAGGCTTAAATTGATAACTCCTCAAAATCAGCCACACAGACATCTCATTTAATGTTATAAAATAATGATTGTTGTAAAAAATGATGATGCTCAAAATGTTTGTTTGTGATTAGAGGCCATTGAAAACACCTTTGCCCTATTTAAAACAATTGTAAACCGCCCAAAGGTGCCTTACTTAAATAACATTGCCAAGTTTGAATTCGAAAACCGTTAAATCTCAATGATTGTTCTCGTTCCAAAAGGATCTCGATTGTTTAAGTTGAAAATCGGTGGGTTCTGTATTTGCCTGTACAAACACGAATTTAAAGGAATTGAAGCGACCCACTTCAAATTGTATTTTTGGAACTTTCTCGATTTTGTAGAGGAGGTGAAGTACTTTTTATCAACGCAAAAAAGAGGAAAGTTGAAGGGAAAAGATGTTTAAAATCCGCAGTTTATTATTGATGGTGTACATTGTATTTTATATGTTTATTCTATATATTGACAAATAAAAGAAAATACATGTTTGTATTTGATCAAAATGAAACTTCCGCTCTTTCTCTCAAATACCCTTTGAAAAGAAATTCTGAAGTAAAAAGATAATGGGAAGTTGGAGGAAAGATGAGCAGGCAGACTCCTTTCTTAAGACGAGGCTGCGTGTGCCGGCGATATCATAAAAAATAAACGGCGCTATTCAGCAGAGGAGGAAGTGGGTCTGTGGTGAAAGAAAAGCAAGAGCGCAGCTCGCTGCCCTGACCTTGACAAGCGACGAGTTATGCAACCCGATAGACATAGCTCTATTGCCTGTTGCATAACTTTGCTAATAGGAAACGCAAAACATTTTTTTGATAATAAAGTAAAATATTTATTGGATAAAAAATAGATGCAAATGTGAAGTAAAAACAATTTTGTTAAAAAATTATGGTTTTTATATTTTTGATAATATTTTAGCTCCAAACATTTTTTTATATTAAATATTTAAACGTTTATATCCAATTATGCAAGAATAATTCTGATTATGCGTTAGTTTGTCTTATTGATGTTAGATTTAGGTTACATGTAAAATAAAATTGAAATATTATTCAAGTTTGATGAATGAAGTCTTAATCATGAATCAATGCTTCCTGAGTAGAACATACGATTTCAATCAAATTTAAACCGATCAAACTTTTCAATGTAAATCATGAAGTTAAAATTATCAGACTGAAATTCAAGTGAAATGAGTTTTAAAATAGAAAAAATTAATAAACATTGAATATAAACACAAAAATTAAAATCGCTTAAATATTCAATGAGAGTAAAACAATTAATGAACTTTTCTCTATAACTGCTGATTGAAATTTTGAGTGACACGTGTGTACGCGTGCGGAGTCTGGGCCAGAAGAACAAAAAGTGGGTTTTTGTTGTGAAGTGAGTTCAGTGCGCGAGAAAAGCTGCAGAGTGCCGCGAAACCTGATAAATGCTCTAGCTCCAGAGGCGCGCACATGCTGCTGCAAATAGACTCTGTTGCTATGCAGCGTGAGTTGGGGTGGCGAGAGGTGGAGAGCACAACGAGCCGCCCGCTGGACCGAAATTTATTATTGATCACAAAGTAAAGTAATAACACGCAAAATATAACGTATGCTGAACAGACCTGTTGTGCTTCTCTCTAATAATTATGCATGCAAGAGCGGGAATTAGAATAGGGCACTGGAACTTTTTATATATTCCTCCCGGCTGCCAGCGGCAAACAAAACGCCGGCCGGCTTTTTTCTATTCGACTGCATCATTTGAACGACGCAGGCACACTTTTCTCTCTTTCTTTCTTTTCATAGCTCTTTGCGTGCAGGTATTATAATATGGTGCGCGAGTGTGGGGTGGATCGGAATTGCCTCCCCCTATGTATGAAAACGAGGGTGCGGAGAAATGTTGTGCGCGTGCATGCCCGCGCGATTCTTCTCTTTATTCTTTCGGCGTCGCTCATAATGATTATTTTATTCGCGCAGGCGAGCGAATGCCACCAGAATACAGGAGAGAGATCGACGACGGAGAGTGAAAAACATCTGCTCTTTCTGCAAACGCAGCTTCCAGCAAACGCGACCCGACGGCAATCACCAGTACTAAGCCACCTCGCTAATTGTTTATTTCACTTTCAATTAATTGAAAAAATTTATTCCACTGAAATTACAAAATTAAGTATGGAGAATTTCAAAGCAAAAATCAGCAAAAATCATGGCGGCATATTTTCTATTCACATCTTTAATGTTTGGTTTAAATTTTATATATTTATGGTTAATATTACTGAATTCAAAGTCTCTTTAGTTTAAATTTAAAATAAAATATAAAATTAAATGTTAACTTAAGTCATTTTCTTGTAATAAAAAATGTTAAAAGTTATATTTTTCAACGGATACAATATTTTCAAAACTAAAAAGAAAAAAAATACTACAAATATTATTGGAAAATATTGTGAACTCCAAAGTGCACCTGAGTGAAAAATCTGAATTGCTTCTTAAAATAAAACTTTTTTTGTTTTTTTTTGTCAGACAAAATTTCATCAGCATGGACAGAATTGAGAATTTCTTCCTCATTCAAATTGGATTAAGTCAAAGAGAGGTTTCCCCTTTTCTCCGTTCCATTTCAAAACTGAGAACTATGACAAATTTTAAAACCTGAAGTGTCATCAATGTTAAGTTGGTGTGTTACTCATCTGTGCCGCGTTTTCTTTTGATTAGCGACATGAACATTCATTCTTCTTGCTCCTCCAAGTAAGTGATCTCTGTCACAAATGGCAATCAAAGAAATATTCGGCACGACTTTAAATCCGTTTATCCCCACCGGCTCGAATATTCATTTGGCCTGACGAAACGCAAACAAAACCCCGTTTAGTCTCAGGAGCAGCTCAACGGCGCGGAGACACGGATTTGAAAAGTCCTACATGAAGCAGTAAGGAGACAAAAAGCGATACTTTTGCACACTTACTTATTCATTTATTTACGCTGAGCTTCTTTTTAGCCGTCACTCAAGGTAAAAAGAGATGCAGTAGCTCAAATTGAAAAGGAGAAGCAGCTCGTCGGTACTTTTTATAAGCGCGGCTCTTTTCCATGCATGCACACTTATATACATGATGCAATAGCGTGGAAGCACTACTTCCCTTTTTAAACGGAAAATAAGTTGTTGTGCCGCAAAAGTTGAAGGCCAAAGCAGCGTGTAATAAAAGCTCAGAGCGCATCTCATCAGACGCCGCGCGCGAGTGCCGCAGTTTTTGCCCAGAAAAAATGTCACTACTAATTTTACCTCCTTTTCTCTCTCAAATAATATAAAAGCAGCACTCTGTCTGTCTGTCTGTGTGTGCTGGTAAATTTCCGGTTGAGTGCTCCGCAGATAACTTTTGCTCTCCGTCTAGTCCGAATCACCTATTAATGTAAAAAAGATAGATGGCCAGATCTGGAGGCTCGATAAGAGAGAATATGATGCATCCCGCAGCACTTCTTGGAGAGCAGATAAAAAAGGGTTTCGTAACGACAGGAACACAATTATTATATTTCGGATTGAGTGCCTTGGCTACGGGGAGGTCCGAAAAGGGATTTTCCTTGCTTTCAGGATTATATTATTATATACTTTGTTTCATTTTTGCTGCTCGAGGACAAAAATCGCTCTTCACAAAAGAGAAGGCGGTTTGGTAAAAAAGACTGATTTGTTTTCACAGATTAAGTCAGCCGGCACAGAAGTTTGGATCAATCATCTCTACTTTATAAAAGGAGACAAAATTATATACAAAATCTCTAACGAAAATCTCCGCTTCTAAATCCTACAAATTGATCAGGACAAATGTTGCAAAAGACTTTTGGAAATTTTTGATACTGCGCGCGCTATTGGATTGGAGAAATGATAGCCTTGGAGATTCCAATGGCTGCAATAAAGCAAAGAAAAAATATGAATGTTCCCTACTCGGTTCTTTTCAGAATTTCCCCTTTCCACATCGTAATTCATTTTTATTTCCATTTTTCAGCAGCACATCCCTTACTTTTGGCTGACCAGAGTTTTTTCATCCGATGCGCTGCCGTTCTCGATAATTGATTCATTCGCGTAACAACGGAATGCAGATAATGCGCCCGTGATTTATGCGCCGATTTTTTTCCACACAAAATCGTGGACAATGAAAAAATATTTCCGATTTTCGTATAGTGCGACAAAATCCACGGTTGAACAGTTAGATGAATCAAAATAGTCGACGCGCTCGCACAAAGAGAGGAGCGTCTTTTTATTGCTTCATCCCCTGACCCGGCGCAACGCGTTTTATTATTGATAGTCCCCGTTGTAAAAAGGAATGAGAGAGAACGAGGAAAAGAAAAGCTGGTTGTCGTCTTCACCTTGTATATAAAATTCTTTTGCCACCTTATCAATAAAAGAGCCGAAGGAGAGATGGTACGCCGCTGTGCGCGTGTGGAGTGTGAGATTCTTATGTAAAAAGTTTTGAATAAAAAAATCGCGTCGATCAATCGTGGAGATACCATTGATCGGGCCAATGTGGTCGAATATTTGAAATTTTCTGACACTTCAATGGAATCCAAGAAATAGATTGTTGCCAATACTACAAAAAAAAAACTTCATGAAACTGTTTAGATTAAATCTATGAGAATATTGGATCTTTAAAAACTGTTTCGCTAAAAAAAAAAATCAACATGCAAAAATATTGATTTATATTATGTAAGAATTGTACAATTTTTTTTTAATTTTTCAAAATTAAATTTCAAAGTAAATTAATCAGAACAATACATGCAGTTGCATAGGGAAGGCATTTAAAAATCTAACTTAATATTACTATACCTAATATATTTTAAAATGAGTAAAAGCATGAAAATAATCTTTTTAATTTTCAAGAAAATAAAAATAAATTAAAAAAATTAAAATGCCTCGCTTTTGTTAATTTATAAACAGCGAATTATTTTCCCTTTTATTTCCATGCATGCCTTGTTGGCAAGAGATATACATATCGAAAGGTTTAACTTTTATTCAGCACAAAGAACTTAAATTTTTCTGCTATTGAAATCCAATTTGATATGAAATAGCAAATAATGGTGAAAATACCCTTGAGGATTGATCAGAATTTATCAGCCAGATTCATTTTTCATACGCATCCCCTCGCTGAAATCATATAAAAGCACGTGCAAGTCAGGTTGAAAGTCATCCGAATTCCGCAGCTGCAGCGTGCGCGAGGTTGGTCTTCAGGTGCGCGACGCCGTGGCTGAATAAATAGCGGGCGGAGGGGACCACGCCGCTTGATGCCGCGAGAGAGCCGAGCATCGCGGGGCACGCGTGAGTCGCGCGATCTTCCGCGAGATGAAATCGGGAGGGGGGCAAATGTACGTAGTAAAAGTCCAAAGGCGGCACGACCGAGAGGGTGGGGTTGTTTTGTATGAAAATAATAAAATGCTGAGCTGGTGAAAAAAAATATAAGAATATAAAACGAGATGAGAGGAAAAGGTATACAGCAAAGTATAGTGGTATAGAGGAGGTTTTATTATTATCATGATTACTCTCAGGCGCGGCTTGTAGAGCCGCTTTTCAAAAAAGCTACTGCGTCAGAAAGGAGGAGTAATTTTATTCAGCGGGAGAGAGCGGGCGAACGAGCAGGGGGTTGAAATCTCGCTTCTAACTACCATGCAAGTCTCTGAGGACACGCTCAAAATTTAATAAAAATATATTTCGCAAAAAAAGTTAAGAAATTAATACTTTTATATCATGTTTTTTTTATCAATTTTGTATAAATAATAATTTATTTACTCTTTTATTATTTATATTGCATTAAAAAAATTTCTAGATGAAATGCATAATTATTTATTCTGTTATGTATCATTTTAACTCACGCATAGAAAACTGTGAGCATTAGGTAAAAAATAGTTAATAATTAATAATATTTATTTTAAAAAAATTGGTGGTTATGCTAGTTATGTATATTATTGTGAATTAAATCCTTCTCTTTAAGCTTTTTGAGCTACATAGTGCGACAAGATATTATAAATAAAAATAAAAAATTCTGTAAATTTGAGAAAATTTGAAGTTGATATTTTTTTAATTTTACGAAAGAATTTGATTTATCTTATATTTATGTACCAATATTCCCAAATATATTAAAAATAAAAAATAAAAAAAATAATGCACATTCATAAAAATTTAAATATTTTGAGTAAAAAATAGAAATTAAAATCTTCTATCATTTCAACAGCTTCCCAGTTTCAAATTTGTATAAACCCGCGACCAAGCACATCCCTCCAAAGTGTGCTGATCCCCAAAAGCACGGGGTCTGAAAACACGCGACCCCTAACTCGCGGCAAAGCATTTCGCCGCGTCCCTCTGTGTATGATGATGACGGTGATTATTGTGAAAGTACAGGTTAGGTAGGCCTCCTCACCGAGCGCAAAATAAAACGAGTTTCCCTCTTGCCAAAGCCGGCATCACCACGCTTTTGCCTATGGCAGCATAATAGACCCGGCGCGCATTGAGAGGGTGAATTTTGAAGAGGGAGGTTTTCCATTCGGTGACGTAAAAGGGTGCAGCAGTTGACTTGATGCTGCCCCGGCTCATTATGCGTCGGACTTGTAGCGTCAGTTCTCTGCTCTGTCTGATATTATTTGAGCAGTGTAATGGAATAAAAAAAGGAACTATAGAACGCATAAAGCCGAATGATTATGGTATATGCACATGCATGATGAATTGGAGTGATAAAACTAAAACGAGAGTGAAAGCGGTGGCGGATCGGGTTTGCTATCGGGGGCATCAAGCTTCAAACTTGAGCATGAGCAAAAGGCTTAAAAATTTAAAATAGAAACTTTTGAGAACATTAGTCTGCTCCCAAATCGTAAATATTAGGAAACAGATTTTCTACACAATTTACTGTTTCCTAACAACTTGGAAAATACTAATATCTCTAATTTTTTTTATTTTTTTACCATTTTTAAGCTTAACGGCGCTTGATATAATTTAAAAAAATTTGTTTTCAATTTTCAGGAAATATTAATATAATTTTGTAGATAAACATAATTATGAATAAAAATATATTGAGTAACCCAATCAACACTTTTCAGCTGGAATATTAACTTGTAGATTTAAATTAAAACCGAGTTTTGGAATAAATTAAATAAGATTTTCTAAAAATTGCAAAAAAAAATTGGTGATAATATTAAATTTTTTGGCCGCATCTATGAAAATTTTTATGTCTTGTTGAGGAGTTATGCAATTTTTCACCCCCTATAACTAAAGTCATTCGTCCCGGTGTCAGTAAAATTTGCATACGTGCAGTGCTTAACGTTCAAGTCTGCCCAGCACCTATACAGCTGAGCAAGCTCTGAGCGCATTATTAATACAAAAAATAGCAAAGCGCGCGGGCGAAAATAAAAACTGCATTATATTAAAAATGAAAGCGAAGCTAATCCAGCAGTTATGAACAAAGCACCAAACGCACACCCGAGGCGATAACAGGGTTGGTAACGCGAGGGTGTTTTTTTGTTTGTTAATCTCTGACTCGCAATGAGCCAAACTCTTTCAATATAATTTTGAATTTTTTACCAGCGAGTTGCACAATCGTAATTATCTAGACGGAAAGAGCGAGTGAATGGATGGATGCATGTGCGTGCTAAAAGGGGTAACTATAATAAGGCCATACAGTAGAATTAATGGGTGTAAATAAAATTTTGTGCGAGATGTGCACGTGTCACTCTTGCCGGTCGGCCCAGTTGGTTGGTTTAATAATTCCAACTGGCCGCGAGATGGATGTGCACGTGAAATAGTTTTCTGAATAGCCCCCACGTAGAGCACAAAAAGACACTCGCGCTCAGACGAGCTTTTATTGTTGCTCCGATGCAAATTCCGCGAACCGATGCACCGAGTGTTTGGTAAACCATTAAAGGATTTTGTATTAAACGCTTTTGCGTACAACTAGGGTGCAATGCAAACACCCTTCTCAACACGAAATCCTGCGGCCCCCGGCCGACTTTCAACCCTTCACTCGCAGTCCCAGCATGAGAAATCACTCAGGTTCCCCCGAGAAAAATCCGCCTGGAGTGGGAATCGAACCCTCAATCTCCGGGATGGAGGGCAAGAGCATACTCCACTTAGCCACTGGAGACGACTTGGTAAACCATTACGTATCATATGGAGATGGGCAGCCGCGCCGCGCCATTCGGACTCGGTGCAGCGTGAAATTTCATTTTTTCAAAACCTGGACGGCTTTTTTGCGGAGTAAATCATTCGCGCTGAACGATGCGAGAATTCTCAATCTTTTTGCGATTCAGACACTATTTAATTCATACTGGTGCTTCTTTTCAGTTAGTGAATTTACTCTTCTGCTTTTAATTCAACTAGAGACTCTTAATGCTCTCATTGTCCAGCTTCAATTGAGATCATATAGGCTCATGGCTATTGGAAAGGAAATTTAAAGAGGCTCAGAATCTGTGAAAAAATATATTTTGCTTCATAGATAGTATCTTGTGTGATAATAAGCTGCTTGTTTGGATAACTTGTTTGGCAATATTGCTTTGTCTCTGTTACATACATATCTGCTTTGTCAATATTTAAATAAATGGAAAAAAATCGAATGATTTCTTTCAATGTTTTTAAAGTATAATTAATTTTTAGTGATGCAAAATTGGAAAAAAGTATAAAATGTAAAAAAAACACATTTCCGTTTTTAGGGTGAAAAAAAAAATAATGTTTAAATTTTGTTTATATAACTCTTGAATTTAAAAATAATTTTTATACAAAAATATTTGTCCCAGAGTTAAAACTATTTAAAATTAAAACAAACTAAAGTGAACTTACATTCTCGAGCGCACATGATCTCCGAGAGTTTGGTCGGGCCATCGGGCGTCGCGATTTCGCACTTGAAGTCCTCGAGCTTGAACTGAACCCATGAAAAATATATCCCGAATCACTGTTCACTCATTGTACGCCAAACTTTAGCACACCACACGATCACAATTTAATTTCAATGAATGAATAAGACACATTTTGATACACTGGCTCAATCAAAACAAAACATTCGACTGGAAGTTGCCAGTTGCCGGCCGCAGATGGCAGTGTGATCGTGTGATTATTGAGTCTGATATATTCAAAAGATGTGCGTCAATCAATAATGGCCATGGAGCTACTGGAGCCGACAGTTCATTCTGAATAAAACTTTTAATAATTGATAATAATTATTAATTATCGGGTGTTTATTCAAATAAATGACTTGTACGCTAGATTCCGATATTATTTTAATTTTTTTTTGATAAAAAATTTATCAATATTAAATTTATATTATGGCTAAATTGGCTAAATTATTAGTAATATTAATATCAGCAAAATTATGGGTAGAAAAATATTCGGCATCCGCAGGAGGACAATTTTGGTTATTTACAGGACAATACAAAAAGACGATTGGCCGCCATTGAGAAGCAACAAAAAATGTTTTGTTGAAAAGAATCAATAACTTAATTTTCCAAACTGCCCTTTATATTGTTTACATTAATCGGATTACGACGTGAACTTTGAATAAAATGATTATGTCACATTATGTGTAGTCATCGTTTTCATTTGGGCAAAAGAAAATATTTGAATATATTGATAAAAATCGAGGCCCAACTTGATAATAAATTTTTTAAATGTGATTACAGACTCTTTTGACTGACGCGCGAGAAGACGAGATCAAATCCAGCTTGCGGCGGTGGCTACAAACAAAGGTCAAGAATTGGGGGCACTTTGTGGTGATACTCAGGGGTGCGGGTGGCGCGCACGCCGGATGGCGACTCAAAAATGGGCTGTGTGGCAATAATAATTTATTTTTTCGTCAAAATTCTGAGCCCTCAATCTTTTGCACTTGTAGATATGCAAAATGACACGGATGAACCGCCGCAAAGCCAGTTTTTTCTGACATAGATAAAAACTCCCTGAGCCGTCACAATTAACGAACGATGGATTATTCCATATCAACTTGAAATATTCTAATTACAATAGTGTAGTCCTCTAATTGTTAATTTTGTTCCTCCAAAGAGCACCTGTTCTCATTAATTGAGCCTGATATTTTCCTGAAAATAGTTCAAGTCAAATAATGTCTCAATTTAGCTGTGGTTTTTCAAAGCAATAACAATAAAACATCACCTTGGGCGGCGGTCTGTCTCTCTGATTAATTTATTTTCCATTTCACTTCTTGTCCGTTCAGCTTTTCTGTTGTGTGTCGTTTGGACAAACGAGAGATGCTGCGAGAAAGCTTCTGTGTTTGTGCAGCCGAGCTCGCAGCTCCTCCACTTATTTATTATACATACACCAAAAAGAAATAAAACTGCTTGTGGAGAACGAGAGTGATGCACCTCGGCTGCTGGTTTTTGTGCTCGAGCTGTTTTGGTTGGAGGCGATTTTAATTAATAAGAAGAGCGCCCGTGTGTGTGGCGTCGTGTGGGCTAATTAATTACTAAATAGATAGCAAATTAAGCAGCCCGACTGCGTGCTCGGAATATCAAAATTTGTACTGTGCCTATTATAAATATTCGGCACCCAAGGTCGCGTCGAAGTGATAATTAGTATTCCCGAGGGGGAATAATATCGGTTGATATTCAATTTGGCGCTCGAACGTTTGCAAATTGGAAAATAATTATTGCGGTCTGGAGTGGCTCTTGTGAAATTCGTTACAAATATATGAGTGGGGTAGGAAACACAAAATTATATAGAGGGATCTGATGTTTTTTGTTTGACTTGCTTATATGCATCAAGTTACAAGAGTCCTCTTGGCGGCCGCATTGTTGTTCTGAAAAGTTGCATTTTCAACAATGCGCGACTCGCCAGAGAGCCCCTGGCTGCATTTCCTATTACGCTTCGAGAGGCTTTAACTCTTTTTCGCGGCGTCAAAGAATAATGGTGTCTAGCCGGGTGTGTCACAAAAGGGGGCAACTTTTGCACATCCGATTTATTAAATAACCATTTTTCTAGGCCTTATTTTCTTTTCCATTATGTCTGGGCACGGATTTTTATTGTCTGCCGGAAAAGAAAGCGGCTAGTCAAACCTGTTCACAATTTCTTCGCGAGCAGACTAACCGATATATTCGCCGCATTTTTTTATCTCATGGGCACATGCAGCTTATATATGACGGATAATGCCATTTAAGGCATGATCTTTACTCGCCGCTCTGTATATGAACAGCCGTGCAAGTCCATTATCATCAGCTGGATTTATTTATTGTATTCCTGTCGCTCTCATATCTTTTGCTCTGCAATTTCGTTAAATTTATCTAAATTATGAAATATATTGCAAAGTAATAAAAAAAAACTTATATAATAAAATAAATATATAGATAGATATGCCAGGGCATACCTATTTTGTTATAATCATGAATTCGTTGTAGAAAATCGTTTATACTTGTGGATAATTAAGATAGAAATTGCATTTCAAAATCCTTCGAATTATTATTTCATAAAATATTTATGGATAGTAAGAATATGAACAGCACATATAATTTATTGATTGATATTTTATTATTTTCATATAAACCTAGTAGAAATATTAGTGTGGCCGTGTTATCATAATTAACACATTATTCAATTAAACCGCAAAAATGATCAAACGATTTAAGACAAATGCATCAAAATGTAAATTTATGGTTCTGCTATAATTATAAACGCTGCTTTGAAAATCTAGAGTGCCAAAATTTAATGGTGGCTTTTGTTTTCAATAGTCCTCCCGAGATAATCATGTGCTAAAAGAAATGCAACCCCACGAGGGGGAATACCAAATAGAATAACCCCCAATCTTTTAATTCATTATCAAATTGGCCACAAAGAGTAAAAGAGGTACTTTTAAGATAAATAGTAACTGTTGCATGGCAAAATTAAGAGAAAATCAAAGTGCCAATTCCAGCACCAGAGTAATTGGCAAACAATTGAACTGTTAATGTGTCTTTGGTGATGCTCAAGTTTGAGAAATATTGTGACAAGCATTTTTGATTTACTTGCATCTGTTTCACAGAAATTTTGTACCTGAAACCAGCATCAAGATAAATTGCTCCTTTTGTTCTGTAAAACTTGAGATTCTCATCATAATCATTAGTGGTGCCTTTGTAGATTTTTACTCCCTGTGCATTGGTCAACTCGTATTCTACATTTTTTGGCTGATAACCAGCACCTAAGTAAGCATTAAATGACATGAATTGAAATCCTAAAAATCTGACTCTCTTGTTTGTTGTGAACTCCAACCAGGTGTTGCCAGCATTGCCTCCCCAATAGTTGGCCTGCAAATTCAGCCATGTTGCATTCTTAAGAGTAATTCTAGATTTCTTCTCAATGCTGAAGTTCTTTGGCAAGTTTTCCATTGATCCAGTTGAAATGCTCATCATGATGTTCAATTTCTCTTCAGCACTCAAAATGCAGTTTTTGTTCTTCAAGCAGAAGTTAGCAAAGTCCTGATATTCCATAGAGAGGAATCGGATTTTCTCCAGAGGTTTGTTGATGGCCTCTCTCACCATCGCATCTGATGGGTTTTCAATTCTGTCCTTCGTGTTTGCTTCACCCCACCGATAAAGACCTTCGAGCAAGGCACATTCATTCTCGATGCTGAGGTCTTCCTGGCTCAAGACATCTATGACAAGGTCCAAAGTTGCATTTTTCCAATGGGAACTTTTTAGCACTTCTTGTGTGTTCTCAGAAATAACCTGGAATGTTATATTATTAAAAAAATTGGTTGAACTACAATGGAGGATAAATTTTAATCACCTTCATGCACCTCTCCAAGCCTTTCTTGTTTCCAGCCTGTTTGAAAATTTTATGCACAAAGGCAACATTTTCAGTTGATAGATCCTTTAGGAACAAGTCTGCAGAATCCTTGAGGCTGCAAATTTGCCACTTGTCAGCAAACTTATACACTTCAGCTGCAATCACTTCACTTTTGAAGTCTGTTTTTCGGCCATACACAAACCTGAAGATTTTTAAAGATGCAAACAAATTAGGAACCAATTAAGTTAATAACACACAACTGAAAGTTTATTGAACTTTTAAAAATTTAGTTTAATATTTTGTTTTTGTTTTTAATCTACGTACCTCATAGCAGTTTCAAAAACTGCGGGTGGTGTGTCCTCAATCAAAATTTTATCATCTGGTCCTTTGCTTGCTTCTGCAAATTCTCCATGAAACATAACTTCAAAAACTTTGCTTGCAACAGACAGGACCAGTTTGTGGCATTTGAAGACCTGGAGAAAACCATGCATTATTATGTGGGGATTAATAATAAGGAATAAATCATTCAAATCTAATTGATAAATTTTTTAAATATATTGGTGGAGTTTAATCAATTTTATGTGTGTAAGAAAAAAGTATCTATAATGATTAATTCATTTTATTTTTAAGTGTTTTTAAGGTGTTAATCGGTGTCAATTAAAATTTTTATACCTTCAGGTGAGATGCATTATTTGTAGGTTTTGGTGTAGCTTCCACTCGGAAGGTGCAGTCGTACATGGACGAGGATTCAAACAAATGAAGATAGTCTGTGGGCAAATCTCCAGAGCGCTTCCATTCTTCTTTGTCAAGCGCTGCAGGTTTTGATTTCTTGCTGGCTGCTGGTTTCGGATTTGACTCATGGTGGCTGCTCCTGCTACGCGTTTTTGGCTGAGAACGTTATCATAAATAATTATTATCATGTTTCATTAACATAAATACTTCACAAAATAATTAACTAATATATAATTGGCAATGGGAATATGTGCAAATACATAATAAACAGCAAAAATGTTTTTGGTGATGTACCAGAAAAAGAGGGTCATAAAAACCGACATAAAACGAATCAGAATTATGTATTATTGCACGTTTTGAATTACTGAAATACATACCATACAAATTAAGAACTTATTTATTTTTGAAGATGAAACTAGCCGACAAATAGGGTGGAGCCGATATCCGATTTTAAATGCATGAACAAATCAAGAGGTTATGATTTATCGAGATGACAAAAAAGTAGTTATGTAATAACAATAAAAAGCAGTCTCCTTCCTACTCTTACCATTTTTTTATCCGTCTGATCTGAACTGATTGTGAGTGGACTGGAATGAAGAGGGAAGAGTTGAAACTGAAAAAATCTCTCGAAAATTTGCCAAATAAGAATGCAGGCGGCAGCAGGCTGATAAAATGCGGCCGACGGCGTGACGCGTTGGCAAGGAAAGATCCGCAAGATGAGAAGATGAGTATGTTATGTAGTGCTAGTGAGTTAGAGTTAGTGAGAGCGAGGTGAGAACCGAATTATGTCAACACAAAACACAATTACACACACGTTGCGGCGCGATCGCAGCGCCTGTCTGTGAAGGTGGCAATAAATTATAGCATAATTATAATTAATACATATTATTTCAAGTTTCAAGCCGGAATGGTATCTGGTGTCTGAGCATGTTTGTGCATGTTTTGGGCGTAAGAAGGGCGTACAGTTACACATTACAACATTGAATTCAATTCGTTTGTTCTCTTTTAGTTGTCTCTGCTCTTTTCGTCTTTTCCCTATAGCCTAGCAGTACCCTAGTGTATCACAAAATGTGATCGATACAAACAGAAATTAAAATTATAATAGATAAAATATTTATCAATAATATCAATATAATATTATATTATACTGCTTAATTAATGTATAAATACATAAATATTATGCTAACGTTCGTGTGTGAAAAATATCAATGGATTTTAAATTAATTTTAAGCTTCAGCACGATTTTTTTCATTATTTTATGTTAATTTAGCTCACGACATATTATAATTAAAAAAAATTTGTGTTACGTAAAATAAAATACGTTTTATATTCTCGGATTTTTAAGCGCTAAATTAAAAACACCACAATTTAAAATTCGCTTTCAAATTTTTTTTTATTAGGAGCATTGAGAATTCTAAATTGTAGTTTATTGGTTGCAAATGCAGAGAGTATGGATTTAGACGCATAATTATACATTATATTTCCTTGAAACACGTTAAATCGCGAAACAAATTTTTTTTCTAACATAAGAATTATCATAATTTGTTGACTAATTCCATGCTTCATTTTTTATGTTTCTTCATTGATTAAAACAAATAACAATCAGGAATATTTATTATACTTTCCTATATACAAGACATTAAGGCTGGCAGAAGGCAGGAACTAATTATTGTATTGTAACTGTAACTAAAAGAAATCTATGATGGGTATGATCGTGCCAGTTATTATTATTAACTTTAAAAAACAAGAAAATTAAATTTTGGGAGATTTGCCTTTATTCTTCATATTTACGAAACGGCAAGATCCAGATAAAAACACAAAGCTATTTTCCAAGAATCACCGAGAAACACCAAGTGCAATAACCTTAAAAATGTAATCTAATAGGTTATTTTGCACATATTTTGTATAATAGTCATGCAACACAATAATACTAACCAATAATCAGAAAGCCAACAGCAGCACTACTGTTCCTGTTGTGCAGTGTAACAGTCAGGCTTTCCTTGCTAATGCTCCACTCAGAAAATGATTGATGAAAAAATGTTTGATCTGGGAGGCTTGCAAACGAGTGTTTCACAGATAATTGATATCTAACTCCCTCCTTAAGAAGTGGTGGTTTCTTTGCTTTGTAGTACTGGAGTTTCACATCATAATCTTTAGTAGTTCCTTCCCAAATTCTCTCTCCCTCATTGGTTATTTCAAATTGAGAATCTGGCATAAAGTTGCAATCAAAGTGAGCAAATGACATGAACTTTAATCCAAAAAAATGGATATTTTTGTTAACACTGAAATCTATAAAAGAAGGGTGTACAGGATACCCAAATCCCCTGTATCCACTATGAAACGTCAGCAAATCGAGCCAAACTGCTTTTTTTACATTCACTCTAGGTTGCATCTCACTGCTGAAGTTTTCAGGCAAATTTTCTGCAGATTTAATTGATATACTCATAATAATGTTCCACTTTTCTTCAGCAGTAAAAATATTGTTTTTGTTTTTTGAACAAAAGGCAGCAAATTCTTGATGTTCCATTGAGAGGAAGCGGATCTTCTCCAAAGGTTTTTTGATGGCCTCTCTCACCATGGCATCTGAAGGCTTCCCAATTCTGTCCTTTGTGTTTGCTTCACCCCACCGATAAAGACCTTCAAGCAAGTCGCATTCACTGTCGACGTTGAGGTCTCCCTGGCTCAAAACATCCATAATCAAATCCAAGGATGCATTTTGCCAATGGGAGCTGCTCAGCACTTCTTTAATGTTTGCGGACATCACCTGAGACGTGTAATATTAATATTTATTTATAAAGGCAAAGAAATGAATGCAACAAAATACATTACCTCCATGCATCTTCCTAAGCCTTTCTGATTTCCTGCCTGTTTGAAAATTTCGTACACAAATGCAACGTTTCCAGGCGATGGTTCCTTTAAGTACAAGTCTGCAGCGTCCATGAGGTTTTGAATCTGCCACATGTTGGCAAACTTGTACACTTGAGCAGCAATCAAATCGTTTACAAAATCTACTCTCCGGCCATAGACAAATCTGTCAACATTTAATTTGAATTTTAAATTAATGAAATGAGCAGCACGTTCTTCTTTTACTTCAGCTAATAGTTACCTCATAGCAGCATCAAAAGCCATTGGTTCTGTGTCATCAATCTTGATTTCGTCGTCAGGTCCTTTGTTTGCCTCTGCAAAGTTCCCATGGAACATAGTTTCAAACACCTTGCTAGCAACAGCCAAAATCAGTTTGTGGCATTTGAAGATCTAAGAAACATAAAGTAAACATGACAATCATGAAAGCAAAAATACTAAAATAATAATAATTTCATGAGAAATTTAAATTGATGTTAAGAGATATATTGTTTCTCATCACTAAATTAATTTGGATAAAATTTAACTGTCAAATAGAAGATATAATAGGAGATCACAATTAACAAACTTTGCTTGTCGTCGCAGAGATTCCCACTCGAAAGGTGCAGTCATACATGGAGAATGATTCGTAGAGATGCAGAAGGTCGGAGGACCAATCTCCTGTACGCTTCAATTCTTCTTTTTCCATCTGTAGTACTTCGGAGTCCAAAGATTTTTCCTGTAATTGCACAAATAGAAAAAAAATTTTCCCTTATTATTATTTTGCATGATTGATAAAATAAGAGGATAATTATTGCAGTAGTTTACATTATGATATTACACGAAAAATTATTTAAATGTGTTGGATTAATTTTTCTTGGTTTTAAAAAATCTACTTAAAATTTTCATTCCCTAAAAAATAATATCTTAGTTGCTGGGTATATAATTGTAATGATTACATATCTACGCAGAAAAAAATCAGGTTTATAAAACATTTCTAAATTAACACAGCGCTCACGCATCTGGCATTTTTGGCGTAATTAAATTAAATTATCTAAAATATGAATGTGGTTAGAGAGAGAATACACATATTAATAATTATTTAAGTATTATTAGTTTACTTTTTGTCAGTTATGTATAGAAAAATTTGGAACTTATGTACACATACATACGCGATGATGTTCTGATGTCTGATTATTTTCATTTTTCTAATCCAATCCAAACATCCAGCATCGTCAGACTCGCCAACTCTGTTGTCCTGTGCGATTCGCAGTGCGATTGTTTCTTTATCTCTGTAAAACAATGAGGTCGTCACTAGCAGACCAGATCAGTGCGACCAAAATCAACTGCAGCTGCAGCAACTGAAAGTGCGCAGAGCAAAGTCAGCAAAGTAGGTATGTAATGTATAAATGAGCAGAGAGCAACATGAAAAATTTGGCGAAAACTGCATGCCAGCAAGGATTGTGAAGGATTGGGTGGGGACTGGGGAATGTGGGAATTCGTCGAATTCGATCACTCATCATGGCACCACAACGCAAGTACACGCATGTATATTAATTTTGTTACATTATGTTTCGTTTGTGCGAGCGGAGCATTGGGCTTCAATAGAATTTCGAGAATTTCAATACTGAAGTAAATTCCATACTGGCTCTTAGCTGCCTCCAGCCTCCAGCAGCAGTCCAGCAGACTATACAAAAGCGCAATAAAGTACAATATGTGCTCAATATTGTCTGCAACTCTGCACTTCTTGCACCGATCTGGTGAAATTGAATCCCAAGCTACTTTTTTTTACGCACTTCAATAATATTTAATTATAATAGAAAAACTTTAACAATATTTAGGATATATCAACCTATAATTTTTTATTATAGCATTTTATAGAGTCTGTATTTACCTAATATTTTTTCCGATTTTTTTCTATTCACCTGCACCAAGAAAAAGATGGAAATCTACTGAAAAGATTAAGTTATAGGCTATTGCGGGCTATTGCATGGTTCTTAACGGTTCTTAATTCTAAATATTCAAATAATGGACCTACAATGGACGTTCACATGGTTTTTAATTTTTATATATTTTTATAAAGATTAAAAAACTAAAATAACATTTTTTATTCATGAGAAGCAAAATTAAACAAAAGATACATCAAAATACGCTTTAATAGCCCAAAGAGAAATAAAAGATAAAATTCAAAACCGCAATTTTGGCGCACGACAAAAACCGGTGTTACATAATTGCAAATATCCTTTCGCTCTCATTTCCAGCGCGCCTGCTAACCTACTTAAAAAAAAAGGCAGAGAGATGATCCACGCGCGGCAACCACAAAAAGCCATCCTAATTGCCACCAGATGAAATAATAATGCTTCGTTTTTGTCTCTTTGGGTCGCGGTGGAAATAAAATGTAACAAAAATTATTACCAGCACGCGGAATTCATAGAAATACAAATGCATGGGCGACGATTTCATTAATGAATGAAGAAATAAGCTATGATACGAGTTGCGTTTTGCGGTGCCAAAATAAATTCCTCTCTCGGAGCTTAATTGTGTTTAATTGAGGCTGTTTGGTGCGCAGTCAAAGAGTGACTCGCCGCGGGGGAAAAATCCCAAGAGCTCACTTTCTTGGCTGCTCCTTCAGGCTCCGGTTAGCCTTGCTCAAATCTCTAACACTCGACTATATTTTATGTTTGTGTTCTTAACTCTTTTCAAGAGAGATTACGCCGCGCGGCGTTTTCATACGACGGCCACGTGCCCGGCGTCTTTTAATAACATGCTTATGTTTAAGGAGCTGCTCACATATTTTCGATGAGAAACTCGGTGGCTTTTATATAGTTTAGAGCTGCGCGCGGCCTCTCCGTGTATCTCTTTTATATGAAAATATTATAAAAAGCGGTAGCCTATTATCGGCCGCGGCTATTTAACGTCGAGAGACCCTCTCTGCTTAGATGAGCTTTTTCTCTCTTTCAGAGAAGCGTTTTTGATATTTTTTTTTCTATTAAAAAATTTTCCAAGACACGTGCTGGGCTGACGGTTGATGCCTCTGAAACGTTTATTATTTTGATTAATTTGGAATTAATTGTTTCAAACAGCCTCCAATAAACTTAATAATTGGGTCCGACCTCACGAAAATGATGATGATTGTTTATATGCAGCGATGCAGCTTAGGTTCTGTTCCGTCAGGCACAAAATAACGTGGATACGCTGGGACCTCAAATTTAATATAACAGTATAATTTATACATATCATTTTAAAAGCTGGCTGGCTGAATGAATTTGTTTTGATTTTTATTTTCGTATGAAATTATTGAAAAAAGGAAGTGCCTGGACGTTTAATTTTAATTTATTATCACTCCCTGCCAAAGTTATATAAAAATAATTTTTTATTAAAAATATGAAAATATAATGAAAGAATTTCACAATTGTAAGAAAGTTATCACTCTTTTTAATCACTTACCTGCTATGTTAATTTGGTTTCGAGAATTGCATCGTAGGGTAAAGCAGAACTGATTTGCATTCATTTTGAGAATGGAAGAATTTACATTTGCCTTCAAATTGTTTTATTTTTAGTTAAAGTTAAAACTTTTTAGGATAATTTTTCAAATAATATTGCAAATTTAAGACCATTTTTTTTTAAATTTAAATAGATATATTTTTTATTTTCCTGCACTTTGGTGAAAATTTCTTTGGGATCATCAATCCTATTGTCACCCTGTTTGCTGACGTGTTGTATTTGTGATGGTGGGAACATTTTGGGATTTTGTTAGAAAGGAATTCAATTAGCACGCCGCGCGGTATAGCCCTTTTTCAATCAATAATAAAAATTATAAGCGAACATGCTCGGCGCGCTTCTTCAATCAAAATGAGCCTCGATTTGAGTGAGCGAGCATGAGCGTCTCCACATCATTAATTATCCTTTAACACCGGCGGGGTGTCACAAAAGATTTGCTTCCAAGGATGGATCAGAGTTGTCACGCGTCTTGAAGGGGGTCCCTTCAAAAGCGCCGCCGCCCGCGCACCTCTGCTTAATTACCTTTACGTGCCGCGGCGCCCTTAAACAATCGCACCTTTTTCCACGATTTCGTCACACCTTAATGATATTTACCAACCCTTCAAGAAAAGTACACAAAAATTCCACCTGTGTGGCAGGCAAAAAAATCCATGGAAAATTTTATACCTTTTTCGTGCAAGAGAGTGGTAATGAAAAAACCTTTTGCCGAATTATTTTCGGTTACTTTTTTCCCCACAGATTTATTCCGAACGGGCATCAATCAAAACGTCAGTCTCTTCGTTACATTTGCACTCTTGGTAGTCTCGGTAGCAATTAAAGATAAGGCGATTCAAATAATGTTAAAAATAAATATATACCCTTAATTACAAAGTGCCCGCCATCGGACTGGGCAGAATTTATTGTTTATCATTAAGGCGCATCTGATGAGATGCTCACTTATGCTCGCTCGTATATACTTTTTATTTATTTTATTGAACCTTCAAGTGCGCGAATACGTGATACTCTATAATTTATTAAATCAACATGCAATAATTATCAATTTAAATGGGAGCCGCGCATCTTGTTTCAGTGCTGGCGTGCATAATTTGCAAATCAGTTCTTCGTTGACAAGAAAAACCCTCAAGGCAGACGGATATTTAAGCGAATTAAACTCTCAGTAGTGCATGCATGAATTGCAAAAAAGTCAGATCATCTTTATGCATTGAACGGTATTAAAATCCCTTAATTTAAGTCAGATTTGTGAAGCGTAATATATCAAATTAATCAAGAAAAGGAAAGGAAAGAAAAATTATTGTTTGAATTTCTTGAAAACATTATTTTAAGTTCTGAAAATATTCTATTTGATAATCAAATTGTTCTTACAATGCGGCCTTCAAAGTATTAATTTCTTCATTTTAACGTTATGAGAAAAATTAGGAAATTTTTACTAATACTTTAAATATTTTTCTTATTATTTTGCTTCATAATGCTTTGAATACTTTTATATTACAAATCAGCTACGTGGTTCCACAGCTTCCACAATTTCCGACCTACCGCACAAAATGCACTTTTAATGTTTCCATTTCCCACCTCGAAAGTAATAGCCTTTGAACCCCTTTTACAAATTAATTCGCCGCCCTGTTGCAATCTCTCTCCCAGATGATTTAAAGACTTAACCCGAAAACCCTCAAAGTATTAAAACCTCTTTACGATGATGTAATTTGACCTGCCGCCTAATTTCTCAAGTACTTTTCTTTACTCCATAGGCCGAGAAAAAAGATTGGGCAATAAACCCGCAGAAACATCTCAATGGACCGCACGCGGAAGAGGGGTGGCGAGTTATTTCAAACCCGTCGGGACTCCTAGGTGGTCGCGCAATTATTAATTAGCGAGATGTTGGTGATTAGTCCCGAGTGCGTGTATCAGTCGAGATGATCAGCCAAGGTAAAGTTGCAGGAGCGAGAGGGCGAAATCGGGGAATTCCTATCTTCCTGGAAGAAAAACCGCGCGCTCGCGAGCCCATTGAAAATATCTATCTTTCCACTTAACGAAGGGTTTCTCTCCGATTTTTGTGCTGCAAAAGATGAAAATAACTAACTATAACCTTGCCGCAGACAACGGCGAGCCGCGCGCATTCTTTCCCCTCGTCCCCGGCGCGACAATTACGTCTCTTTCGATGTATAAAAAGTTGATTTTATACCCTTGACACTAAATTACAGCAGCCCTCTCAAAAGTCTCAACACACCTGAATATAAAAGTTAAAGGGTGCGTGGATTTCCAAATTTAATGATTATAAAATAGTGCTCCCTGCAGCTCGCCACTGAAAAAGACAATTTTGTATGTGTGGAGTGAGAATACATTTCTGACTTTATTTTTTACAGTTATATGTTTAAAAAAAAATATATGGAAAAGACGAGAAAGTCAAGACACTCTGAGCAAAAGCTAAGCTGTTTAAAAATTAATTTAAAAACCATGATATGGTCAGAATTATGGATAAAAGGTCAAAATTTGGATATTACATAATAAACGGTATGAAGTATTCGGTTTTTAATTTCATTTATATAAAAACACTAAGTTTTGAATCAGAAAATTATCAAAAGAAAGTTTTTTTTTGTTTTTTTTTATATATATATTTTTTTTTCACATATTCTGCGTTTATTAATTTCCGTGTGACAAATAAATACATAGGTTGATATTTAAATTTATGCAAATTCTGCTTAAGTTGTCTTTCACTGAAGCGGCGATAAAATTTTAAAATAAACTGCGTCAACTAAAAAAATTAAGATGCCATTGAAATTTTTAATATTTGCTGTGCATTTTTTATTTTTTTTTTAACCTAGAACAATGCTTTTTTTTATTATTTCAGCAGGTTTTTTGTAAAAAATCTGGATAAATTTTCTTACGTATTTTTATATTTTAAG